ATTACGGAATTTTCATCACGTTTTGTTTTCGGTTTTATTCTACTTTTTAAATACATGCGCATATCTTAATTAATCAACCAAAACGAAGGTCTTCTCTCTAACTTATATTTATATTTATTTTGTTCTTTAGTTTGAAATAGGTATTGTTTAAAAAATGATATTGTTGTTGTCAACACGAATCTTGGTGACTTTTTTAATACAGTAATGAAAATGATTAGGCTTCATTAGTTCATTAATAAATTTTAGGGTTTCAGCTGCATTAGCAATTATGGCGACACTATCTCGTGTTTCTTCTGACTTTTCCTAACTTTTATATATGTTATTAATAACTATACAGAATACGAGCCAAAATGAGATATCATATAACACTAATTAATTTTTATGTTTCGTTGTTCTCTAAAACTTCGAATTTAGTTAACAACAAAAATAATTTTTTACACACACAAAAAAAGTGAAAAACCTAACAAAAGCTGAAGCAAAGCTTCTAGATATATAATACAAACAAGAGAAATTTAATAATGCTATTCGACTACCAAATCAAATATTGAGGAGCACGTTTAAGTCTGATGATGACTGCATTGATTCGTTTCATGACCAACTTTTCGATCGATGGTGAATTTGGCCATTCCACTATTTCCGCAAACGGGACACCGAAGTTTTTCTTGAAGCCAATAAAGAACATATTATACCATGAGCCTTTTTTTTCTTCTTGGATCCAAGTTGAAATATCTCTCACTTTTTGTTTTTATCTGAACAAAAACACAGTTGTAGAAGTGAGAATAATCTGCCGAATCAGTGCAGCTTCGTCGAGAACAAAAGAGATGATAAATTTCTCTGAAAATCGAAGCATGGGAGTCAGACAAGCTATTTGGAAGGCGTTTCTTGCGCTGCTGAAGCGGAAAAAACTTTTCTAATGGCTTCTTGTTAAGCAAGCGACGATGAAATTAATGTGAAACTTGTACAGCTTTTCTAATGGCTTCTTGTCCAAGATTTGGTCAATGGCTTCTTGTCCAAGATACGATGAAATTAATGTGAAACTTGTACAGCTTTTCTAATGGCCTCTTGTCCAAGATACGATGAAATTAATGTGAAACTTGTACAGCTTTTCTAATGGCTTCTTGTCCAAGATACGATGAAATTAATGTGAAACTTGTACAGCTTTTCTAATGGCTTCTTGTCCAAGATTTGGTCAATATTTATAGAGATATCTAGGAACCGATATTAGAATGTTAGGCGGGAATGGAATGACCGAACACAAACACAAAAGGAGTTTATTATATATATTCAGATTGAAACAAAAGTGTACACAACATGAGATTACACTTGAGGGGGTAGGCAAGCAATGATAAGCTTTGCCCTTGATGTTTTATTTGGAAGCAAAAGAAACTTCAACATAAATACACACACATGTCATATCCTCACACTGAATGGAAACAAAAGTCACACTTGGTACTTATATGAGGTTATTTCAAGCCTTTGTGTAGCAGTGGCAGTGTCTGTCGCTTCCCTCAATAACCGCCCAACAGACTGGAGGAGAACCGTATTTGGCTAAGCAACACTTGCAGCATTCCACATCCGTCGTTGAGTGGGCCGCCGGGCACTCGTCATAGAACACACGTGAAGCGGCCGTAGAACATCCACCAGGACAATCAATAGCCTTGCTCTTGAGGAAACCTACATGTTGACATATATTTTCATCAGCACAAGATCATTAAGAGACAACTGCAAAGTATAATAGTGATCAACTTTGTTAAACTAATATTGTACCAGTTGAAGCCATCAAGAGGACAACCAAGAGAACAGTGAAGCTGACGGAGTTGAGGTTCTTTGCCATTTCTTTTCTTCTATGCTTTGCTTTCACTAAAACTTGTTCTTTTTCTTTTTCTTTTGGATACACTTAATTTTGATGATACAGATTCATAGATGTGGTCATCTATTTATAGTCCAAATTTGGTAAATTTGTTATATTCGTTTAAACTCTTCTCTCTTCTTTCTGGTTTTCCCAAGTTCGTAATGTCGCCACAATTATGCAATGCCGTCTTTTTCATTACATTGTATTATTCTTTTTTTATAACATGCACTTGTCTTTAAAAAATGAACTTAGAGGAAGGTCTTCTCTGTATAAATTGTTTTTGATGTTTATTTTTAGCTTGAAATAATTATTGTTAAAAAATTATATCGTTGATGTCATAGACAGAGTAAATAGGAATCTTGGTGACTCTTTAATTCAATAATGATAACGATTTGCCTACATCAAGTTCCTTAATTAACTTTAGGGTTTCAGCTGCAATACAGCAATCATGGCGACACTATCTCTGGTTCTTTTCACTTTGGAGCAACTCCTAACATATATATATATATATATAGTGTATTAATTATTATAATAACTTGTTTGAAAACGACCCAAAACGATATACCGTATAACGGTATAAGCATATACACGAGTTAATTAGAAATGTGTGTATAACACTTTAGTGAAATACAAATGAGAGATTATATAAAAAAAATGATTTTAAAGATTATTTCGAATTTTGTTCGCGCCTTAAATCATTCTCGCACGATTTAGTCTCATAGTATTATTCCAATTTATGTGTGCTGCTAGCTTGTGGTTTTTGTTTTAAAAAGATTCCCCTTTTTTGAATTTTTTCTTTAAATGATTAGAATTTTCTCTTTAAATGTTTTAAAAGAATTTCCCTTTTATGAAATTTCTCTTTATATGATACAATTATCATGGTTATGAAGTTTTTTTGTGAGACTAAAACACACTCCTAATGTCATCTTATACTGCGAAGAACAGTATAATGTGAAGAACAGAAAAAGGTCTCCATCCAGCTTTAATAAATCTAAAGACTTTGGTTTTGTTCGTTTTTGTATCTAGATGCAAATACTTAAATATTGTTCGTTTGAACACTTTTAAACTAGCATCTAGATATTGCATTTGGATGTAAAATAAAAAAATATTTCAAAAATTTGGATATTTGAGATTCTAAAAAAAGTAGAGTTTGAATGCAGTATTTGCATCTTAAAAACCAAAATACAAAATACCCCTTAATATGATAGAAAAAAAATGCAATTAAACTTATATTTATTACTTTTTGCCAAAATCGTAAAATAAAAATAGTAAAATCATATTTTTCCTAAAAATTATAAATTCAATTTTCCATAAAAATCGCAAAATTGCATTTTCGCACCAAAATCGCAAAATAACAGTAAAATGCAAAGTTGTCTTTTTCCACCAAAACCGTAAAATAAAGTTTTCTTGCCAAAACCAAAAAATTGTGCTTTTCTTCCAAATCCGTAAATTTGTGTTTTCTCACAAAAATCAAAAAATTGAGTTTTCCTGACAAAACCGTCAAAATGGATTTTCCCGCCAAAACCCGAAAATTATGTTTTTCGACAAAAATCGAAAATAAAGTTTTCTTTCTAATTCTAAAAATCAGGTTTTCTGCCAAAATTGGAAAATCGAGTTTTTCCGCCAAAACCATAAAATTAAAATTTTCCCTCCAAAACCGAAAAATCAGGTTTTCCCGCCAAAATAATAAAATCAAGTTTTCCGTCAAAAGTGTAAAATCGTGTTTTTCCCGCCAAAACCGGACAATCGAATTTTTTCATCAAAATAGCAAAATCAATTTTTCTGCCAAACTAAAAAATCGAGTTTTTCCGCCAAAAGCAAAAAAACCGGATTTTCCCGCTAAAACAGCAAAATCAAGTTTTCTCATCAAAACCGTATTTTTCCATCAAAACCGCAAAATTGAGTTTTTCTGCCAAAATCATGGTTTTCCGTCAAGACCGAAAAAAATAAGTTTTTCAGTCAAAATCAATGTTTTCTGCCAAACGTATTTTTTTCAGTCAAACTTTATTTTTCGAAAAAACTATTAATTTATATTATCATAAATAAATCATTTTAATTGTAGATAAAATTAATAAATTGAAAAATATACCCTTTTGATCATTTTGAGATATTTTGTATTTAGAATTTTTTTATAAATACACAAACAAACAATATTGCATTCAAATTCTCTATCCAAATGCAAAATCTAGTTTTAAAAACAAATAATATGTAATGATGCATCTGAAAATTGTATCTAGATGCTGAGTATGAACAGGGCCTTGGATGGAATTTTATGGGTTTTGCTTGAAGCCACTTAAGAACAGAGCATACCACGAACCTTTATTCTTTTTCATTGTTTCTAAGATCATCCTGTATGGTTTTGTTCATTTTTTATAGGACCTTAAACCAGAAATTCTCTACCGAAATTAAGCCAAAACCGAGACTGAACCGGGAATATGTCATAGCATACATTGGTTTCTTGTAATTTTTTTTTTTGGTTTTATGTTTGGTTAATTTGGCTTCTTGTATTGATGATATCTAAAGAGCCATTTGTTCTGACCACTTTCTTGGTCTTTATGATGATAAACTGATAATGGGTAGTGGTCCATACACATACACACACAAGTGGCTTACCTTCTCCATTCTATTTTCCAGATATAGCCATTTTTTTGGGGATTCATAGACAAAAACCCTTAAAACAGAAAGCTTGAGAGCGCAATAAATGTAAACACACACAACCAACCTCTCAGTTTCTTTACTTTTCCTTTAATTCCTCTCTCTATCATTCATTTATAACCTCCACTCCAGAAGCTTCTCTCTTTGCTCATATTTTTGTACACATGAATGATCTTGGGTTTTCTGTATATAAAAGAAGACGATCTTGAAGCTTTGTTTCAAAGGAGTCTATGTCTCTTCTTCTCTGATCTTTGTTTGCTATTTTGTCTTTAACCTCTTGGCCCCATTCTTTATCTGTTTCTTCCATCAACCACATAAACAGAAAGGAAAGCTCATCTTTAAACAACAGTTTATCCAAAAAAAAGGAAAAATCTAAGAGCTTGTGGACATGGAGAAGAAACTGATAGTGCTTATGTTACTTCTGCAACTTATGTCCTTAAACTATCTGTCTCTGAAACATCCTTCATCCAAGCCAAATGCAAAGATCACTGTAATGGGTCTTGTTTATTGCGACGTTTGCATATAATTCATGATGTTCGCAATATATAGTGGGATACCATTTTCTCAAATACATCATATATTTTGTCAAATGCAACAATGAATAAGGTTCTTGTCTAAATCATTGAGTTTGATGTACATAGTGAAATTTTAAATCTCTTTGATGTTCCACCGTAAAAGAATCTCTTCTCTTTTTTTTTTTCCTAGTTTCTTTATAACAAAATTGAGACTTTATAACTGCTTAAAAATGTAAATCTCTGTGATAAACTTGTTTTACTAGATTTATAGAAAGAAATTAAGTGATTATATACTCATATTATTATTGTGTTGGTTTGTAATCTACAGGAAAAGTTGATGTCAAAAGAAAGGAACCAAGAAATGTTGACAGTAAGAAAAGATCAAGGTCCCAGAAGTGGAGCAAACTTTCGCCAATCTAGCCAAAGAAGTCACGGCTTGTTGGCGTTAAACCCAACATTCCTGACCTGAATGCAGAACCTGATTCAGATTCGGAGGGAGAAAAAGAAGGAGAAATAGTAGAAACAACTCAGAATTTGACAGGTTCAGAAGCTCATGATTCAAGTTGTGTTTTTCCTAAGCTTATTGAGGAGCTTAAGGTTGAGATCTTTGTTCGTGTTCCATGCTTTGAATTCGGGAATTAAAATTTCTCAGCAGTCGGTCCATGCAATTATTAAAGAGCTTTGACAATTTTAAGGGTAGGAAAGAATGCGGGATTGTGAAACCATACGTGTTTTTGCATTCGGTTGTGAAAGTCAATGGACAATATTTGATAAGAATTTTGAGAGTTGTCGAGAACTTCCACAAGTTCCTTCTGAGGACTATTGCTTCTTCCATTGTGATAAGGAAACGATTAGTGCGGGTACGCAATTAATCGTCATTGGAAAGGAGATGATGGACAGGGTGGTGTAGCGATACGAGCTAGAGAAGCATAACTGGTTCAAAGGTTAATGATCACTAGATGAGTACCCGCATGATGTGTGGATTTTTTTTCACCGTACAATTTATTAAAAAGTGTAGTTACAATTTATTTTATCGTATATTTTAAAAAAATTAAAGGATATAGTATATTTGAATAAACATACAATACATATTTATATATTATGTAGATATTAACTATATATGTGATCAATGGTTTATTGATCAAAAAATTTAAAATATATTATACCTTGTATATATATATAATATATTAAATAGATATAGTGCAAATTAGAGAAGTACAATATAACAAAAATTAATTCGAAAAACTCTTCAAGCACAACATAGATAGAGACGACTTTTTTTAACAGGTCGTACTTGTTCACGGCGTAGATTTACACAATAGCAATATCGTGGTTTTATATTTTTATGAGCTTAAATAATTGATTTATAATTCTTATTTATATAGCTGCATTAAATATTTTATAAATATATATATTAAGACTTTGATATCTTATTAATTTTAAAATTATTAATGGATCCAATTTGAATAAAATAAATTATCAAATAATTATTAGTTTATAAAGAAATTGTTTTAAATTTTTTTATAATATTGTATAAATTTTTCTTCTCACTTTTTAAGGTTCAAAATATAAAAAAATTGTTATTTTTATATTTGTATAATTGTTTTTATAATAATATCTTATAATATTAATTAAAAATAAGAAAACACTCTTGAATATAAAACATAAATTTTGTTAATAATTTTTAAAAACTACCACAAAATAGATATTCAATAATTGTTTTTGGATATTATGTATATATTTTTATTAAAATATATTATCCAATTCTTCATATTTTTCATATTCTTTTAGTATTATGATTAATAATACATTAAATTTATGCATTAACTGTATTTTACATAATTTGTATCATTTAATTTTTTAAAATAACACATGTCATTTCTACAATAAACCAAAACGATGAGGTGGCACTCATATGGAGAAAGTTGGCCATCTTTTATAGTATAGATGCCCAGAGTATTGTATGGCTCTGCCAGGCCATGGAACTAATGCTTATTTTGCTGGAGGAATTCATATTGACGAAAATGAGATTCCAGAGGTTTTGAACAGCTTTGAGAAGTATAACAGTGAAACCAAAATGTGGACTGCGATTCGTGGAATGCATAAGAGAAGGTAATTCAGCTCAAAATGTTTCTTGCACGAAAAGTTTCACATCCTTGGTGGCCGAGATGAGAATAATCAAAACCTAACTTCTGGTGAAAGTTACGATGAGGTGACAAATTCTTGGAAACTGACACCCAACATGCTTGGAGACATGAGCTTCACGTCTGGCCAGTCGCCTCCCCTCATTGCGGTGGTCGACGAACAACTCTACTCGTTGGAAATATCTTCGAACGAGCTTCGTGTTTATAATATAAATGCAAACGCTTGGAAAAAACTTGGTGCTGTGCCTGTGAGAGCAAATACCGCATCTGATTGGGGAGTTGCGTTCAAGTCAATTGGAGATAGGTTTTTGGTGATTAGACCTTCGCCTTGGAGTAGGAAAGTGTTGCTTTACACATGTCGTTCTTCTCCAAACAAGGAATAGCAGCTTTGGAAGTAACTAAGAAACTACTGCGATGCTGTTGATGAGCACCACCAGTTTATTCATAATTATTATATCATGTTTGCTTGAAGTTTTTTTTTTTGGAAAAAGCCCGGGAACATATTTTAATCGTTTGTGTTTCAAATAAGTTTACCAACAATTTCTGGACGCTAGAAACTAATTCTGGTAGCTGGATTTGGAAGCAGCTTTGTAAGCTGCGAGAGTTGGCTAGACCGTTTATTTTTTGTGATGTTCGCTCGGGGATGACTGCTCAGTTCTGGCATGACAATTGGACAGGTTTAGGTCCTCTTATTGAACTCTCTGGTCTTGATGGTCCTCGTTGCACCGGCCTACCTTCTCAAGCGGTTGTAGCGGATGCAATTCGCGATGGGAATTGGTGGCTTCATCGCTCACGAAGCCGTAACCCAATTAATTCTCTGGTCTGCCAATGCCTGCCAGATCCTCACCCCATTGCAACAGCTGAGGAGGATGACGCTTACTTATGGAAAATTGGCTCCAATGGAGTTCCTAGAGGTTTCTTCTCTGCCTCGGCAACTTGGAAGCACCTACATCCTACATCCTCGGTGGTGCCTTGGTTTAAGACGGTTTGGTTCTCTGGAAGAATTCCAAAGCACTCGTTCATCTGTTGGGTTGCAGCCCGTGATAGGATGTATACGAGGGACAGGATGCGAAGTTGGGGCCTTAACATCCCAGCCAACTGTCTCTTCTGCAATACAGTCGATGAAACGAGGGATCATCTCTTCTTCGATTGTCCTTATAGTCAGGAGGTATGGTCTTACTTCTACTTAGCTGCCCATTTAAATCCTCCGGCTGCTTTTGATCTCCTCCTGGTTTGGATGTGCAATCCCTCTCGAAACAAGAACATCTCTCTCATCATTAAACTTGCGTTTCAAGCTTCTCTCTATGCAATTTGGAAAGAAAAAAACTCCAGGTTACACTCTTCAATCTCTTGTCCAGCTGCTCTGATTGTCGAAGAAATCAAGAAACAGTTAAAAGCTCGTTTAGATCCTTTATCTAGGGCTCAATCGGCCAATTTAGCTTCTATCTCTTACTTAACCACTTGGTTCTCTCTCTTCTAACTCTTTCTTTTGGTCGTTTTTGTTAATTAGGAAAATCACAGATCTTTTTTATGATCTGTAGCATCCGAGCTGTAACCCTGCGGGGATGATTTGTAACTATTTTTTTTTTTTTATAAAAAGCCAGTTGTAAAAAAAAAAAGAAAAAAAAAAAAAAGTTTACGGCAATCTTGACGCCGAAATATAACTAAAATTATGGTTTTATGTTGTTTTTTTCTGATTTATCTTTATGTTTTGCATATGCGTCTTTAATTTAGACGTAAATGCTGATTTGTTTAATGTTATTTAATATAAGTGTGTGTTTGTGTTGAAAAGCTTAATGTCGTTTATGTATTGAAGCCAGAGCCGTGTCCACGTTGTGAAAAGAAACATTTGCTTAGGACAGCAAATTTTTGTTGTTATTATAGGGCATCACTTTAAAAAAACAATTTCCATCTTTATTACGAATAACTATATCATATTAATATCAATTATTAGATAATAAAATAATTTAGCATGTATAGGTTTACCATCTACGTTATAAGTAAGTTATATATGAGTTTAGAAATTTGTAATACCTTTAACTAGGTATTTCTCCGCATCTTATGCGAGGTTTGATTATTATTTTTTTTTTGAAATTAATAATATTAGTTTATTTATTGATAAAAAAATCAGATTTTATAATTATTCAAAATCAAAATTAATATATTTGACAAAATATAATTTTCATGAATATATTTTTTATGTGATAAAGCAAAATATTATCTATATCTTATTTTTTAATATCTCTTATATTATCCGATGAAAAATTATATGTATATTTTGTTGTCTAGTTACATCAAACAAAACTCTCAATAAAACCGCAACTTCGAATCTTTCACGACTGTTTTTTTGAAAAAAGATTAGAAATCTAAAAAAAAAGTTGTAGAAAGAGACGTACGGCCGTCGATTGATCTAGATTGTTTTGAAAAAATTGTTTTAATATATACAGAGCTTCAAAAAGGTTTAAAAGATTTAGGGTTTTACTTGTGGCTGTATAAATAAATTAGGTTAGTCAAAAATAATAGTAGGTTAAACAATCAAATTAAAATTAGTTTAAGAAAATAATTAGGATCGGATTTTTTGTGATTTATGTTAGTTATCTTTTTTTAGTAAACTGAATATTTTATATGATTTAAACTCGAATTTTTGGAAATCTAGATTAAAAAATGAAAATTAATTAAAAATTAGATTATATTAATTTTTTAATTTTATTAAGGGTAATTAAAGTCTTTTCGTATAAGGGGCAAAAAGTAATCAACAATTATAACTCTAAACCACAGCCCAACTTGCTTCTCAATTAATAATATGATTTACTATAAAAATATAAATAATTATTAATATGAAAGAATTAGGATACGATAATAGTTTAGGATTTTTATAGAAACAATTTTTTAACAATTTATTTATTAACATTGAAAGTTAATTAATAAATTTTCAATGTTTTTAACATCTAGTTAAAGTTAAAATATATAAATTTCTATTTTTTGATAATTTTATTATTTAATTAAATACTGTAAAATATATTTCTTCTGTGTTAAAAAGTTTGATTTTTTAGATGTTTTACAGTTATTAAAAACGATAATTATTTACTTTCTAAGTTACTTTTTATCTGTTTTTCAATTTTATATTGATTTTTATTATTTTTTACCCAAAAACTATTATTAATTGTTTTTGAAAAATAAATATATTAAATATAATCTAAAAAATCAATCTTTTACAAACAAAAATAAATCTCTAATTATCATACTTTTGGGAATGGAAAAAATATTTCTTTTTGTCTGTGAGAGCATTTTTTTTAGTTCGTTTATGGTATTCGTGATGGTTGTCACGGCTCTGATTGAAGCGTATGATTTTATTATTTACCTCTTTGGTCTCAAACTAACAGCGTTTGCCATCTTGAAAGCATAGAAAAGAAAAATGTAAAATCTTAAAGAAAAACGAAGCTAATTTGGTCCATTGCTCCTCGGATTCATGCACGAATCATGGCTACAAAACTACAACGGTATAAGGTTCTGTTTAAGTCCAAGATGTTTAATCTCTTGAGTCTAGGGGTTTACCCCTTTGAATTTTCAGACGCTTTTAGAAGAGAAAAAATCCACTCTGGTCTTATATATTGTCCAAGATTTGGAAAATATTCGTAGAGGATATACGTGTGCCCACATTTGAATTTAGGCTGGATGCGAATGAGGAACACAAACACCAAACAAAAGTGAACACAACATGAGATTACACTTAGGAGGGGCAAGCAGTGATAAGCTTTGCCATTAATGTTTTATTTGGAAGCAAAAGAAACTTGAACATAAACACACACACACACACCAAATACATACACTTGATACTTATATAAGATTGTTTCAAACTTCCTTAGTTTGAGTAGCAATGGCAGTGTTTATCGGTTCCCTCAACAACCGCCCAACAGACCCAGAGGACAACCAAAATTGGTTTTGCAATAAGCAACACAATCAGCATTTGTACATGTGAACGGGGCCGGTCCGCACTCCCCTCACTTTGTTAATCATGCGGTGCTTGTCTAACATAATCATCCAAAAAGACGGGGCATCTCTCCAAGTCATGTTCTTATATTCACTTTTTCTTTAGTTATATCTATTGTTTAAAAAACGATACTTCCTTTATTTCTTTTTAATTGTAGTTGCAGACTACTTTTTTATTTTAAAATAATTATTGTTTTCAGTTTTCAATACAGATTTATGATAAATTTTCCAGTTTTATTTTTACCTTTTTAGCTTATTAAATACTCTTATCAAACAAAATAGTATAATAAATAAATGTAAATTAGAAAATTTAATCTGTGTGAAATCATCTAAAATGACAATTAAAAAGAAACAGAGATAGTATTGTTCCTGTCATAGATAAAGTCAGCACGAATTTTAGCGACTCTTTCTTCCAATAATGGAAACGATTAGGCTTCATTAATTCATTAATAAACTTTAGGGTTTCACCTGCATTGCAATAATTATGGCGACACTATTTCAGTTCTTAGGGTTTTAGCTGCATTGCAATAATTATGGCGACACTATTTCTGTTCTTTTGACGTTTGAGCATCTCGTAACTTCTATCCATGAGAGAATTATTATAATAACTTTCCAAAAAACGAGCTAAAATAAGATACTATACAAGCATACAAGAACTAACTAGATCAGATGCCTATATAAAAAAATATACTTTTTATATTTGCTGAAATCTGTTAGACTCAAATTTTCCTTCTTATTGATTAATTATTAATATTTAATATTTTGTGGGTCTTATTGATTAATTATTAATATTTTGTGTACTTTATGTATATAAAAATACTTTATAGTATTTTGTTGTTTTTAAGCAGACAATGAAGATACTTTTGATGGATGTCTTAAAAACAAAACAAAAATATAATTTTTTTTTTAATAAATTTAAGTATAAATTTATGTTAACAAGTTTTTAATATGTTTTTAAAAATGTAATACATGAAAACATATCTTATTATATAAAGTTGGATGCATCAAAGTTAGTAATTCACAAGATCGCGACACATGGCGATTTAATTCGATCAGTTTTTTACACGTATTATTTAAAATAGTATACAAAAACTAAAAAAAAATATTTAATTAAAAAAACCAAAACAAGTGTATCTCAATTAAAAATAAGATGTATCTCAATTAAAAATAAGACAAACTTCTAATTCTAAAAAAAACAATAACACATTAAAAATAAGATAAACTTATAATTCTGAAAAAAAACAAAAACAGATTGAAGATAAAATAAAATTCTAATTCTATAAAAAAACAAAAACAGATATATATTATTACAGTGTGTTACCTGTTGACATTTTCTTTTTACATGATTTAAATTAGTCTATTAGTGTTTAGAGTAAATTAATTTCTGGTGTTCAATAAAAATAACTACTAATTTTACAAAAATGAAAAAAAAAAATTACTTAATTTTACAAAAAAAAAAAAATTATAACCTTAACTTAAATTAATAATTTAAATTAAAAATATGTGCAACTCAAGGGTCTATATCTAGTAAATTATAGAAGTGCAATTCAGAAACTGGAATTAAAAGATCTTATTTTAGATGTCATAAAATTTGTCCACTCATATCTTGACATGTGTCTGTTCTTAACTAAGAAAAAGATCTTATTTTAGACCCTGGTCTTAAAGTTTAGACACTCTGTACAATTTTTTTATTCAACTATATTATTAAGATTCCTTCAGTAGACACCTAGAGATGACCATTGGGGTTGGTCTTAGATTTCTAAAAAATAAAAATATAATCGAACATCCCAACAACTAATTAATCTATTGAATTATGTTAGCTGTTTGTAGCAATTTCTATTTTTTAAGGGTAGGATGTAATCTTTTTTTTTCAAATCATTAGTTATTTACTTTTGTCTTTAATTTTTTTCATGTTTTTAGTTCTTATTTTATATATACAATTAGTATAAGTGTAACGCCCCCGACCATCTCTACCGGCGAGTCACCCCTCTCTCCATCAGGCTCATATGGGCCCCACCCCTATAGGACGACAGGTGCAATATTTTTTCCGGAGT